ATTAAAACGTATAATTAAATTGGATATAGATTCCTTGAATGTAGTAATAAAGTGAATTGAATAAATTCATCAGAAATGAAGTCTCTCCAAAGAATTTCTCTATCCAAAGCGACAAAATACAAGAAACCAGAAAATCAAACTAGTTTTTATTTAATCGTACACGTACGTAACAAAAATAAAGTCAACTTCTCAGTCGGAAAATGTTCAATGACAACCGTGCGAAGCAAGGAGAAGTCACACTGCAAGTGATGCGATAGATATTTATCAGAGATTGCGGCTGACGAAAAATTAAACAAAGAAGAAGAGATAACCAAGACTATTATTATTAGGCTTGATAAGATCGAGTCATCAACAACAAAGGTACAAGTTAGAAAAGCAATTGCCAATAGTCTTCGTGTCATGACTTGGAATGCCAAGGGGTTGCCACAACATAACGATACACTACGTGTATCCCGTGTTTGATTTAGATTCTGACCATTTTCCAATAATTATAGCAGTACTTAAGTCGAAACAGCATAAAAAGAAGAAAATCTCATTTTGACAACTCAGATGACAAAGCATAACATGTTTAAAACCTTCTCGGAACAAAATATAAACGCGAGAGGTTCACTGAAGACCTCTGTTGAAATTCCGAAAATTGCCAAAAAACCCAAGAGCGGAAACTGTTACCCACTCGAGGTAAGTAAAAATAGATGTGTTCGTGAACAATGGCAAATCACAAAGGATTCGCGAGAATAAATTAAATAAAATAGTGGGTAAAGTTCATAAACTCCTCTATATCAAGTAGCAGACAATTAGTTTCTATCTAAACGTGTATGACGCGTTTATTGATTATTCCTTGTGAAAAAGCACTAAAAGTCTAAAACAACCAAGAATATATATACCATATATATGAATACTCCTCCATGGTCCAATAAGAGAAGAAACCCAAGTTTCTTCTAAAGAAAGAATCTTTAACAAGAAACTCTTCACAACATCTTTGCAGACTATCCAGAAAAAAAAGAACCTTTCAAGCTAATAAGTGCATTTCAAATACAAATCTATAATACATGGCGCTGACTGCTAGCGAACCAGAACGGATAGAATTTTTATCATCAAAGAGAGTAATTCACGAAATCAAGTATAATTTAAGTACAAAAAAGCATTGTGATTCGATTCTATTTAAACAACTACCCAGAAAGATAATCGTGAAGTTAACAAACCTGTATCATGCTGCCTTAAGCTAAAATATGTCCTAGCTTTCTGGAAGATTGCTCTGATACCAGTAATGTCAAAGATATTTGAAAAATTAGTGCTCAAAAGATTAACATCAATTCTTGAAGAAAGAGACATCATTCCATCACAAGTACATACAGGCTCTGGTTTTGTTAAAAGGATTATTCTGACATTTCCAACTTGGCCTCTTCATTGTTTGCGTCCATCTGACTATGTCCTGTAACCTCACGTTTTCTTCTATAACTTGCTCTTGTTGCTCTTGTGGTTTTTTCGTTCAGGTCGCTATAGCTAATGATATTTACTGCGAGATTTTTCAACCTGATCTGGTGTACGATTGTAAACCACTAGATTACACCTGCTTGGTTCTTTGGCTATTGTTAAGGACTACGTTTTCTATACTGAGATTTCCAAATTCAGACATTAGGCTGCATCGTCCGCGTAGCATATGATTCTTATATTTCTTTCGTCCAACCTGTACCTCCTTCGACCACGCATCGGTTCTTCAATTATTTCATTCATCACTAAACCGGGCTAAGGCAATATCCCTGCCACATTTCAGTTACAATTGATATACGTTTCTTGAGTCCCTTTTTTCTCACTTACAAGTGCTACAACATTCATTTCATTATTATGCCTCGCCCTATCATAAGCCTAATTAAGATCGTCGAAACATATAAAAGCTGTCTTGTCGAACTCTATGCTATTTTTAGTTATTTGTTGGATACGAAAATTTCGTCTGTAGGTTTTTCTGAATCCCTGTTGTTGTTCGCAAATCCCAATTGCTGTTGCTTCTTCTGATAGTATTCTGGACATCAATTTTTTAGATAGCTCTCAAGAGGCTAATTCCTCTATTATTGCTGGGGTTAGTTTTTTAATCCTCCTTGAAGAGTGGTTTCAGTATGCTGCACTTGCATTGAGATGATATTCGTTCATTTTTGATAACTACGTTAAACAATATGTGTGTTTCATCAACCAGTACGTATGATAATTTTTTGTTGTTCAATTTCTGGGTTGTTTATTTCATTTTTTCTTTGGAGGTTTGGATTACGGTTGAGCCCAACATTTTTCTATATCACCCATCAAGGTTACGTTTGATATTCTTATTAATATTGTGTGCATGAGTGTTTTATTGTGAATCCGAATTAATAACCCTCAATCAGTTCCCTTTAATCTTTTGGTTTTTTTAACCTTGTGTAAATCATCCATTCGATTGTATTCCTTACTATTCTGTAGATTGTGGTATTGCTTTGGAAATATAAGTTTGTTGTTGATTGTAGTGGGGGTACATAAACTTGTTAATCAAACTATGGCAGACTTCTATAAATTTCCTGCATGTCTTTCAGATATAGCCACTATTAAAACATATTTTTAATATTTTGTAAAGTTTATTTGTAATGTTATTAAGGTTAAGGTGCAATGTATGGAGTCTGTTAAAAAGAAATCTGAAGGTGGTGAGTTTATGTTTATTGCAGTTATGTGACCTTTATAGGATAATAGTTCTATAGATAGTTCGGTATCTGTAAATGTTAAAGGATAAATTATTGTATGTTGTGATGTTTCTTTCAATCTCTAGGTCAATTGAGCTTAAAATTACTTATTTTCTATTTCACTTATGAATTTTAAATTGCACAAGTTATTAATAATGTTTTCAAGGGCTGAGAGTTTTGCATTATTTCCATCATAAATCATAAAAATGTAATAAAATTTTATATTTATGTTAAAAATAGTCAAAATTTGTATTTTGACTAGCCATCTTCTTATTTATATTACTATTGCTATGTCTAGGACATAGATCATTGCTCTGCTATTTCGATCAGTGTGTTTTGAGTCTATGTTTTGCCATTATGATTTTCAAACTATTTCCTTCAGAATCAAACAAGAAAAAAAATTAATGTCATAAAATGTACTGGTTACTGGGCTCATGTACCTACACGCAAATTTTGATGCCTGTGTGGAACCTATATTCAGCTATGGGGGTGAACTGAAGAAAAAAAGGTTGCTATAATACAAAGGTTTCAAAATAAAGTACTTCAAGGTATTGTCAAAAGCGCCAATTTATACTGAAATTTGTAAGTAGAGATGGTTGTCAGTGTGGTTTCACCACCACAAAAATGCCGAAACATTTCATGTATTTCTAGTTGTAGACTTAATACTAGTACTAGTGCTAGTGTTAGCTCTAGTTTTAGTTATTATTCAGCGTAAGATTGTTGTATATTTTTATTGAACTAAAACTAGAACTAACACTTGACACGACATCCAGGTTAGATCTTATGGGGAAACCTCTTATATTGATTTTCATCAAAATAATTACTCTATTAAATTGACTTGGAACATATATTACAGTGTTGTCTACTAATTTTTGACCAAGATCGCCTTTTTATATAAATATCTTGCCAAGATCGACCGAAGGGTTTAAAGTAACCTTCCTTTTTTTTTTGCTCTGAGGCCTAGATATAGATATTTCAGATTAATTATTTTTTTGGCAATCGACGTTATAGTCACCACTGATTTAGAGCTTATAAATAAAAAATGGTAATAATTGAGTTCAATCTTTTTATGGATCTAGTCTTTATGGTCCATTACTAAGGTTTTATGTATAAAAAGTATTTCCCCATCGCCTTTAGTTTTTGAGTTATAATTGAGTTAATTTTCGAAAATCACCAATTTTGATGTTTAATCGGTTTAGAGCTTATAAATAAAAAATGGTAATAATTGGGTTCAATCTTTTTATGGATATAGTCTTTATGGTCCATTGCTAAGGTTTTATGTATAAAAAATATTTCCCCATCGCTTTTAGTTTATGATTGAGTTAATTTTCGAAAATCACCAATTTTGATGTTTAGTCGATTTAAAGCTACTAAATAAAGAACGGTTATAATTGGGTTCAATCTTTTTATAGATTTATTCTTTATGGATCGCGATCGACGTTATGAACACCACTGATATATTAAGTATAAAGTGTTTTAAAAGTTTTCTAGAAATAGTGGTGATAAAATTTCTTTTACTGCATTATAAAAATCAATAAATTCATTAATAAGAGTTAATAAAAATAACATAAAAAAGGAATTATTATAGAATCAATTTAACCTTTCCTAGATACTTTTTAATTTTAATTAGTTGTAATAATTTACGTGTAATAAATAAAACCATAAACCCTTTCTTATCCATCTTACAAGAAACCTCCTTTTAAAGACAAAATTGCATCTTTTCCGTTCATAGTAAGTACTCATCATTTTTATGGAGTCACTTTACCGTTTTACATTGTTATATTTAGTGTTACAGTTACAATTTATAGGTTTTAAACTAAAATTGATTATGTTCTAACAAGGATGTATGGTTATAAATATGTAATTTTATTGGATATTCTTATTTTAACCACAAGAAACATTATGAAAGTTAATTTACCTTATAAAGATGTGCAGTTACTTTAGTAATAGTATGTCAGGGAGTGTCAATTATATTATTAAACCATGAAATATAAAGCAATCATTAATTATAGTAATCTTTAGAAAAACTTTTTTTTTAGTTTTGTGAAGTTTAATTAATTAATTGATCATCGTTTTAAACCATGGAATTACGATTAATTACAATTTAATTATTTGTATAATTATATATACATTTTCTATCAATAGAAACAATGAAATCAATGATTGATTAATATACAAAAGCAATCAAGTATGATTAATTGAGTATCCTTAAAAGCTTAAATCTCATGTTTATAGATTAGAATGATTAATTTTGTATCTAATCGTATTTAACATATTGAATAAAATTGTTTTCATTACCTGAATAAACAATCCAATTACAGTAACAGTAAAGAATTTTTTAAAGTCCTTTTGGTCCATCGTAAAAAATTGAATGATCCCGAATAAAATCACCAAAAAGATTTTCTTTCCAAAAAGTAAACGCTTTCCTCCCTTTTACTTTTCAAATATTGATTCAAAAAGCTTCTTTCCATGCGAAGAAAAACCGCAACGTTCCGCACTACAAAGTACAAAAAAACGTTCTCGTAGAAGAACACGACCTCGTCAGTAGGAAGCCGGAGGAAAACTGTTCTTTGGAAGTTCTTGAACGTACACAAGCGCCGCGGAAGCTACCGGAGGCGGCGTCGTCATACTTTTCCGGAGGTCCTCCGACACGCGCTAACAATTTTTCGACCTGTTCCGTTTTGCTGGGCCCACTCTTCGCTCCAGTTAACCCCTTCTACCTTTACTCCACCACGCAAAACAAAATTGGTAACGTTTGTACTTTTCTTGTTGTTTTAAGTCTGTCTTCTTCTCACGTTTGGCCCGCTCGCGTTCGTTTTTCCACTCAAACCGGAGCGGAATTGTTTATTTACCGGAAACTTTAGTAGTTTCTAGGTGAATAGGTTCCGATTAGCACCATCATGGATCGACTTCTGTTCAATGGCCTACATACGACCTGCATCTAACCGCAAACTTGTATGCTAATAATCTGAGAGGTGAAATCGAAGAAAAAGCTAAAAAATAAAAATTATTATAATCTTAAAGTTCGATTTTTAGTAGTGAAATTCCAAAAGATACCAGATGGTCTAATTAGTGGCAGATGACGTTTGGTATCCCTAAGTACAAACGGAAGCGTTAAAGCTTAAACTTATTATATTAACAGGTTGCTGTTAAATCTCGGCGAAGAACAGATGTTAAAATTTTTTATGATTAATTCAAAGTAGACAAGGAAAAGAATTTGAATTAATTAAGGAACGATCTAGTAAAAGAGCAGATGCGTAATTTTTAACCGATTATGTAATTGTTATGGTTCATTACATTGTTCTGAAGTTATGTTAATCACGTTCTAACGGGGTATAAAATCTTATCTATTTTAAAATGCAATTTTCTCGAAATAACCCAATAATTATTATAATTCATCAAGATAACAAAACAACATTTTGTACAAGAATTATCTTACATTACAACTATATAACAAAGGTGTATTAGATATGGTCGAATTAATAAGAATTTTATGGTTTGTAAAACGATGGTACATTAAAGTAACTGTAAATATCCGGACTGAATGTCCATCAACAATACTCTTGGTGATGGACTTGGCCTTTCACAATGGCAAATCTTAAACTATCACGTATACCCACTTTTAGAGCCTTATAATCCATCGATGGTGTCTCTTTAACCTCCTTCGCACCTGATGAGCACTTGGCACATTCCTTTCATTAGGATGTCATCGTTGAAAACGACGCAATTAACATCACCATTATTTTTTTATCACACCGATTTAACAGTTGGTTCTCTATTACCGTGGTACAATGAAACGTGTAAACTATCTAAAGTTTAAAAAGGTAGACGAATTTTATTCGACATCTCCATTAAACAAGAATAAAAAAAGTAAACTAATAAAAAAACCGTAAATAATTTGTTGGTATTTCTTCTTAGAAATGACTTAATCCGAATTTTCTCACGATTCAAAGTTAACCATCCATAATGACCTGTGACACTGTCATCCATTTCGTCGACCTCGTTGTCAGGACAATTCGTTTGTGTCCGAAATTTTCCGCTAATGGATTCTTTCCTTCCGAATGAACAATGAACAATTGTTACACTGTAGCGGCAATTATACCGTATAATGGTCCACTGGCCACGCAATTTGATCATTCGGATGATGTATCATCGTATTCTTGCGGTCAACCAGTCGGCATTTTGTTTCAACTGATTAGATTTTGTCTCTTACAGTTCGAAATTGACCTACTGAAAAGTAACGGTTATTTTTTAGCTGTGATAAATCAAACCAACCCGCTTTTTTTTCTATAGTGATAACAAACGATATTTATACCATAAAATTAATGAATCTACCTCCATACAGTATAAGTTAGAAAGTTTTTGAAACATAATAATAAAAGAGAGAGTTAGTGAAAATAGTTTGATAAGAACATAAATAAATTTAAAAATGATTTGAAATTCAAAATATTTTTTTATGACTGTATGGTTTATAAATAATAAATTGATCTGGATCAACACGACTTCTTTATTCTTCTCTCATTTTCGGCCTATAATAAATCATCCATGTGATACGGAGATGACTTCAGAAAAACTGAAGACCATAAATCAGCCAAAACCAAGAAAGCAAGTAGACTACACAATACTTCAATAAAACTTTGGCAAAAGTCTGTTTTTATGCAACTTCTAAATAAACTTGGGACAAAAAAATGCAACGAATACAAATTGATTAATCTAATGAGTTACACATTGAAGGCGCGAAAGGGATCTAGATGACTCACTCAACTTGGCACCCGTGAGGTCCTTTTTGCCTTAAATATAATTCTGCAAAAGTTCGCGACCATGGACAAGGATGCTTTTTGTCCCCGCTGTTACTCAACATTTACTCTGATCTCTGATATGATTTTCAAACGGGTTCTAAATGATAAAGTCTTGGAGTAAAGATCAGTGGTGAACTAATTTATATTAGAATAACTAGAACAAATAAAGAGATTAAGTGCAGAATTGAAACAGCTTTCAATTAAATCATACTTCTGTAATGACAACTTAAACGTAAAATTGCCTGAAAAAATGATCAAAGGTTATATCTGGTCGGTGTTGTTATATGGAGCTGAGATCTGGATTCGAAAGGCTACCACGATCAATCATCTGGAGGCATTCAAGATTTAGAAGTATGCTTCAAATAACCTGGACATCCATGCAGACCAACGCAGTAATATTAAATAGAGCAAATATTGTTCATAAATTATTTAAAACTATTAAGATCAGAAAAATATCACACCTAGGGCATATTATAGAGGAGACAGATATTAAATCCATCAGCTTATAATGAAAGGTAAAATTGAGGGCTGCAGAGGAATTGCATGGAAGCAAATGTCATGGTAAAGGTTCCCAACAAGTATTTAGATTCTTCCCCTCCGATGTGATTGCCAACGTTGCCGAGACTTGTTATGGCACCAAAAAAGAGAAACTTTCAAACAAATTTTTTTGCCAAAGTTTTGCCTTTGTCATAACCTTTCTTATTTACTTATCATAACAAGCTTTCTCTATTTTCTGATGTCTAATTCTAACCAATTTCTTTTGTATTATACCCTCGTTAAGTATTATATGGATTTTTGAGTCGATTAGAACCATTTTGAGTCACTCCAATTAGTTATTTAAGTATTCCAATGTCTTTGAATTCTGGAAATCATCTTCTTTAATGTTATTATCTTATTTTGCCTTTTCGTAAAACACACAGTACGTATCAAATCGATTGCACCGTTTTGAAACACGCCGGTAAGTATCGTAGAAATATCTTTGACCATTTTGATTCATTGAAATTTGATGTTGCTAATTTGTGTTGCCGTTATCAAATTCTCTAGATGTGTTTTCAATCCATTAGCACGATTTTGACACACATCAGAAAGTTCTTTTTGTTTTTAGGAAAGCAAAATATCGAATATTGATGTAATCGTCATATGAACACGGTTTGTGAATTGTATGGCTGTTTTTGCCATACTATGGAACTAAATTAGAAGTACCTTGGAAATGTTTCTAGATAGCTTTCTGAAGAGTGGCCAATTGGCTGCGTAGTACTTAGCAATGTTTGCGCGTTGGTTTATGAAGTTGATGTAATGTCATATTTATTCGGGTGGGAGTTGCACAAAAGAGAACCTTTTTATGATCAAAATAAAATATATCCAAAGCGTATGCATTTCTGTCATTGAATCTAAGAAACAAGGTTCAGCAGAAAATTCGACTGTTTTTGAACGTGGTTGGTGTCTTTGTCGTCGAGACGATTCTATAACCATAATTTCGGTAACATTTTAATGTGTTCCTCTTATTCATTAACTATTTAGACTGCAGTCTGGAAAACAGCTGTGATAAGGCCTTATTTTTTTGTTGAGGAGACTATACTCTGACGGTTAATAAATAATATTATTTCCTCTTCTTATGCATAAAGAAAATAGTATCTGAACCACATGATTATATTTAGTTGGACTATGGTTACTATGCTCATATAATGGTTTTAATTTAAACAATTAACTTGATTTAACGTAACTGATTTTCTACTGGATGTTGCTGGTACTGAAATATCAAGAAAAATCATTACTTTTGACAAGAAATTACCGAATATTTTATATTATCATGAAAAGTAGAGAGGCCAAGAGAGAAGCCAGAAGGAAATTGAGACAGTGGCAGAGAGGGGAGGTAGAGATAGATAGATACATAGAGGCCAGGAGAAAATACAAAGAAGAATGCAAGATATAGAAGAGGGAGCTGAAGGAAAGGGAGGTTGAGAAGATTAAGGAGTTGAAAGAGGAAAATGAGGTATGGAGATATTTAAAGAGGATGAGGAAGGGAAGAGAAGAAGTCAGCAGAGATATAAAAATGACTTAGTGGAGAACCTACTTCATGGGATTGTTGGGAGGGGTGGAAAAGAGAAGATTGGGAGAGGGAAAGCGAGGGGTGCAAGAAGGAGAAGAACACTGGAACAAATGGAGGCAGTATGAAGAGAGGTGGGATGAGATCCAGAATGAAGCATGGTTGGAGGCGACGTAGACGGTGATGAAGAAACTATGGAAGGTAATAATCGACGTATGGATGGGTAAGAAGTTTCCAGACAGGTGGAGGATGGGGATAATATGCCCACTGTATAAAAAGAGGAGTAAGAGGGTGGTGAGCAATTATAGAGGGATCATTCTGTTGGACACAACTCTCAAAATTTATGCAAAGATACTGCTGGGGAGGTTGGAAGAGGAAATGGAGAGGGGGGAACTGTTGCCGGATGGGCAGGCGGGATTCAGGAAGGGAAGAGGGGCAATTGACAATGTATACATTCTGAAACACCTGGTAGATAGGGAGTTGAACAAGAAGGGGGGAAAGCTGTATTCGATAACGTGGATAGAGAGAAGTTGTGGGAGGAAATGAGGAAGAGAGGTATCACAGAACAACTGATAGGGAGGGCGAAGGAGATGTACAGGGAGACGTTGACCAAGGTTATATTGATGGTGGAGATGAAGGAGATGATGAGATCCCTGGAAAAATATTTTAAGACGAAGGGGTTGGAGGTAAACGTCGAGAAAACAAAGATAATGAAGTTCTGCAAAGGGAGGAGAAGAAGGAAGGAGGAATGGAGGGAGCAGGGAAGAGAGAGAATAAGGTTTGCTGGATGATATACAAACACGATATTGGAGATGGGTACTAGGGTTGGCAAGGGAGACTCCAGGGTATGTAGTGAGGGATTAGGTTAAGGTGGATGCAGTAAGGGTGGAGGCGGGGAGAAGAGCAGTGAAGTATGAGAAAATGATAGAGCAAGACCGCATTGCAGGATCCTGGGAGAGTGCTGGAGGGAAATTAAGGAGAGGAGGCTGATCTACGGGCAAAGAGACAGGGAAGTATATTATAGAAGAGTGGGATACTCACTAATTGGGATCGAAAACAGAAGAGCGGAAAGAGGTGAAATGTGGAGAGAACTGAGGGATAGGGACATGGATATACAGAGGCAGGAAAGAAGGTCACAGATACGAGAAGGAAGATACAATGAAAGGTATGGGGAGATAGTGACAGAGGAACTGCCAAAATATTTGTTGATGGAGGGGGATGATGAAGGGAAGAGATTGGTGGCCAGATTCCGCTGTCGTAATGAGGAGAGGGGGAATAGGTATTGGGCGGACAATGTGGAGAGGTAGTGTAGGCTGTGTGGAGAGGATTGGGAGACGCTGGAACACATGCTGAGAGGGTGTAGTGAGCTAAGGGAGGAGGCAATGGACAGGAAGCAGATTTTGGGAGAGGGGGGCGAGGGCAAAAGATGGATGATGGGGGCGAGGAGGCGAAGGTGTAGAAAGGGGGGAGGAAGGTATAAATAGAAACAACTTGAGGGGTTATAGGTCTCTCCTTCTGAATAAAAAATTCTTATTACACAATGTCCCATTCTTTGCTATTCTTAAGATATGATACAATAAAGTTAAGGGTTTGAAAGTTTAAGTACAGCTGTATAATTATATTAGGCAGGCTTTGTTTATGTAATATAGCTTTAATTTGACACATCAAAGTCATATTTGAGATATTATTTAGAGGTTGTTTACGTTATACGAATAAATTTATCACTTCTGTTTTATCACTCTTTAATGTGAAAATTTACAAAAATTTAGGTTTTAATAAATAAACTTGCTTATTGTATTAAAAACAACAAAATTACAAAACTAGAAACAAATTACAAATTGCAAAGCAAAGCCTGCTTAATCTAATTCATTAACCAGTAGTACTCAAACTTGTGAACCCTTAACTTTATCGTATTATATCTTAAGAAGGACAAAGAATGGGACATTCAAATATAATAAAACCTCAAATTTTTTCTACTAATACCTGATACACCCTGTATATAGTAGAATGTATTAAAGGGAAAATTGTAAATATTAAAAACAATAAAACACTTATTATTTCGTTAATTGAAATTCAAACACTATTACGGTACCTACTATTACAGTACTATACAAGTACAGTTGCTACATTACTTTTCTTTCAAGTGTTTCCTGAAAACATACACAGCATGATGTTACATTAAGCTTTTTTAATCAGAGTCGAAGAAAAAAGACATAAATTAAACATTTTTATCCACTTACTTTCTCCTTTTATGCTTCGTACACGTACAGGTATAAACAAATTGTTTCTTATATTAAACGTTATTAAAATCGATTTTATTTACTTTAAATTAAAAAAAATTATTGATAACTTTATGATGATAATCACATTTCACGGTGATATAATCCGGATTACGTTTTGTTTGAACCGTTCCGGTTTGGTGAAATGGGAGCAAATTTGAATATTGAGATCAATAGGCTGGTGCATTCGCTTAGATGGCACGCGAATGCGTGTTACAGAAGTTACAGTGTCGTAATTTTCACGCATTATTCGTCGCCAAAGTAATTTACGTTGAAACGTAAAGTGGAGCTGTCTTCTATAATCAGATGGCGTAAATGTTGATTACTGCATGTTCCGGAGCATCGCATTCACCATAATTAGCCTACTGGGTTAGGGTGCTTTTGAAAAATGTATTAGAAAGTTTGCCGGTAGCACTTAGTATGGAGGCACGGCGTGATCGTACCATTTAAGTTTACGATAGGAAACAAATAATTTAGATGTTAATTTCAGATAATTGTTCAATAACCTTATTAGTACATATGGTGAAATTTTATTTATTTTTAATAAAATTGGCTTAAAATAATATATGGATGGGTAAAAAAGTACGACATTTTTCTTTAAATTTTTACTGACGTCCAAATAACCCGGTCAAACGTTGATATACAGAGAGAACCGTTGCAACCGTAACAAACGAGCGGAAAATTGATTCATACGGTCAGGAAGAAGACAAGAGGACGACATGCCATGCGAACAAACGTTTCCTTTATTCTCTGCCGACGAAATGTTACATCTGTTGAATAGGCCGCATTCTGTTCCTAAAGGAGCGCCATCTCACGCAAACTTGCCTCGATAATTGTCAATGAACTACGAGCGCTTTTCTAATAACTACTTATACTAATGTAAGTTATGATTACAGCTTGCTCTTTATCAAAGCTATCTTTACAAGATCGACGGCTTCCGATGCACAACCATAACACAAAGTAATACCACTCCCGCCGTGTCCATAGTTGTGGATCAGCGGAACTGATTTATTACCTATATTGGTCGATGATAATTCAAGCCGTATCTGATCACGTCCTGGACGAAGCCCAACTTGATGTCTCAATATCTTCGCTTCCTAAGGAGAAACGGTAAATCCTTTATGGCAGTGCTTTTTGATGCAAATTAAAATCAACTTACATGAAGAGATGGTACCATTTGTTTGCAACCTTTTAGAATTCGAGAAGCGTCGTCGATTCTTGGTTTTGTATCTTCATCGTCTAATTGATGCGTTCCACCCAATATAACACAATTTTCGCTAAAAAACAATTTTTAATTACATCATTATTAATACAATCTAATTAAATTACTTGGGTATTATGTAACAACCATCATCAGAATTATCCATAATTGTATGAAACTGCCATGATGCTTCAACCTAAAAATTAAGCATCAATACCTAATCATACAAAAATTGATTTCTTACTCGAAGAATTTGTCCTCTAATTGCTTTAACTCTTTCGTCGCGCATTAAAATTTTGGAATATATCCCGGTGCAATTTACAATAACATCATAGTTTTTCAATTGAGAGAACTTTTCAATTTTGTTGATTTTTATTTCTCCCCCGTTATTAATAAAAATGTTTTCTAAGAATGGCAAAAATTTTTTTGGTTCGCAAATAAAAGAATTGAAAGTAAAACCTCCGCTGCAATAAAAACATCAAAAACGAATACATGAGAATTATTAAAACTTACGTGTAAGGAATTTTTTGGTCATTTTGAAAACGTTCCAACTCCTTTCCTTTAATCTCGTTACATCCAATAGCAATTTTTGACCATTTCGGAAGACTTGTTGTATCACACCATAAATAAATCATGGGTTGTAAAGAAATCCCAGCATCTGAAGCATACCCGTTTTTCCATAACAGCCAGAATAAATCTTGAGTTTCTTTTGCCCATTTTCTATTATAAAAAAAGTATTTATGAAAACATTTAAAAATCATTTACTTACATTATTTTATCTTCTGGCGTGTCTTGTAGTAAATACGGTGTCCAAAGTCCCGCTGATACGTCACCTGTTGTGTTAGGACTCTTATCAGCTGTATAAATAGTGACATCGATGTTCTCTCCGAATTCTTTTTGGATTTTTAACGCTGTGGTTAAACCTATAACTCCAGCGCCTATAACAGCAATTTTTTGCTTCATGTTGTTTCAAGAAACTAAATGAGATAATGCAAAAAGCAATGTTAAATCTTGCAAAGGTTGCAACAAGGTTAAGTATCTTATCAATCTATATTTAGTATTGGCGATAGTTAAACATAAATAATGCACATTTAATAACCATTGTATTTTATGGATATTATAAAATTAAAATCAATTTTTTTAAGAAATATTGTAAATACTTGACATAGGTATTTAGTATTGATTATTACAACTCAATTACAATTAAATCAATTATACAAATCTTTGTTGCTTGCGAAGGGTTCCAAAATAAATACGTTGAACTAGTTGCTAGTGTTCGAGATGTTCTCATGAATTTTGGGATAAATTTGGATTAAAGGTTTTATAATTAATAAGTGACCAGAAATAAGTGCAACAGAATGGAGAAGTAAAGAAGAGAATGTAAAAATGCTTGATTCGAGACTTTGCAACGCAAAAAATAACAAAAATTTATGTTGCAAAAAACATAGAAGACGTTTGAATTGAAATTCAGGATCTCTATTCGCAAAAGCAAAGATAATGAAATTAGTAAAAGTTAGAACTCTAGATATATGAGTGCAATTGTTGTACAGGCTGGCAAAAAGACTTGGTACTAAGGATGTAGACTACTCAACGTTGTAAGAGTAACATATTAAGTGAGATCAAAACCAGTCTACATTATCAGAGTCTTGTTTGAGGCTGTAGATTTCTGTGACTTCATAAGATATAAATATCTGACAAGTTATTTACAAAAACAACTAAAAATTACAACTACTTCACTATTACATCAATCAAGAACAGAGCGCTACTCAAGAACAGGAGTATCTCGAGAACAGCTTGAGATGTAATAACGAAATTAACAGCATTTTAAAGCAGATTTAATGCAGATTCAAAGTGCCATAAACAATTTCTTAATTTCCATAAACATAGTTGTTATTACTTTTAGAACTCAGCTCGGCATATTTGATTATTGTAGATTTTAAGAATAGAAATTTTAAATATTGTATCTCAAGAACGAATTGTGACATAACGATAAAATACTCGACATTTTAAAATAAATTTAATGAAGATTAAATGTGCTACAAATTCTTATTTTCCATATACTTCGTTGTTACGATTTTTTAGACCCAACTTAACATGTATGATGATTTCAGGTTTTAGAAATTTAAACAACTATATCTCAAGAACGAATAGAGATATCAGGATGAAATAAACGACGTCTTAAAGCAAATTTGAAGAAGATTTAGTGTGCCAAAAATAATTTTTTGTTTTCAATAATTATCGTTATTATAATTTTCTAAATCCGACTGTATATGTTTGATTGTTATATAAATAAAATACAAATTAAAACAAATCGTATCTCAAGAATGAATTGAGATAACACCATGAAATAAACAGCAATTCAAAGCAAATTTATTTAGTATTCACTATTTTGAACATAATTTCTTCAAATCTTCAAATTTTATGAATTTTTGAACGCAACCTTGCATAATCTTAAACATAAGTGTTAGGGTAACTAATCTTTACGTATCTCAAAAACTAATTGAGATATTGTTATGAAATAAAAAGCAGTTTACAGCAAATTTAATGAAGATTTAATGCAATTGAGATAATTTCTAATTTTCCAAAAACATCGTTGTTATGATTGTTTAAATCCAACTCTGTATGTTTGATTGTTATAGATTTGCAATATAAATTTTAAAGAGTATTATCTTNAGAAGTAAAGAAGAGAATGTAAAAATGCTTGATTCGAGACTTTGCAACGCAAAAAATAACAAAAATTTATGTTGCAAAAAACATAGAAGACGTTTGAATTGAAATTCAGGATCTCTATTCGCAAAAGCAAAGATAATGAAATTAGTAAAAGTTAGAACTCTAGATATATGAGTGCAATTGTTGTACAGGCTGGCAAAAAGACTTGGTACTAAGGATGTAGACTACTCAACGTTGTAAGAGTAACATATTAAGTGAGATCAAAACCAGTCTACATTATCAGAGTCTTGTTTGAGGCTGTAGATTTCTGTGACTTCATAAGATATAAATATCTGACAAGTTATTTACAAAAAGTACTTTACAAATGAGATGAGCTGCAAATTACAACTACCACACTATTACATCAATCAAGAACAGAGCGCTACTCAAGAACAGGAGTATCTCGAGAACAGCTTGAGATGTAATGACGAAATTAACAGCATTTTAAAATCCTAAACAAATCGTATCTCAAGAATGAATTGAGATATTACCATGATTTAAAAAGCAATTTAAAGCAAATTTATTTAGTATTCACTATTTTGAACATCATTTCTTCAAATTTTATGAATTTTTGATCGCAACCTTGCCTAATCTTAAACATAAGTGTTAGGGTAACTAATCTTTACGTATCTCAAAAACTAATTGAGATATTGTTATGAAATAAAAAGCAGTTTAAAGCAAATTTAATGAAGATTTAATGCACTTGAGATAATTTCTAATTTTCCAAAAACATCGTTGTTATGATTGTTTAAATCCAACTCTGTATGTTTGATTGTTATAGATTTGCAATATAAATTTTAAAGAGTCGTATCTTAAGAACGAATTGAGATATCATCATGAAATAAAGAATATTTTAAAGCAAATTTGATGAAGATTTAATGCACCATAAATAATTTCTTAATTTCTATAACCATCATTGTTATGATGTTTTAAATCCAACTCTGTATGTTTGATTGTTATAGATATGAAATACAATTTAAGAAAATCGTATCTCAAGAACGAATTGAGATATTATTATAAAATAAAAAGCAATTTGAAGCAAATTTATTTAAGATTTAACATTTTGAACATCATTTCTTCAAATCTCCTCATTTATGATTTTTTTAACGCAACCTTGCATAACCTAAATTAAACTGAAATATTAGGGTACTTAATTTTTAGATATCTTGAAAACTAATTGAGATATTTTTATGAAATGAAAAGCAGTTTAAAGCAAATTTAACGAAGATTTTAATGCACTATAAATAATTTCTTATTTTCTATAGTCATAGAGCTTATGATTTTTAAAATATAACTCTGCATGTTTAATTGTTATAGATATGAAACATAAATTTTACAAAATCGTATCCCGAGAACAAATTGAGATATCATCATCAAATAAAATGCAATTGAACGCAAATTTACTTAGTATTGTGCCAAAAATATTTTGTTGTTTTCAATAATTATCGTTATTATAATTTTCTAAATCCAACTGTATATGTTTGATTGTTATATAAATAAAATACAAATTAAAACAAATCGTATCTCAAGAATGAATTGAGATAACACCATGAAATAAACAGCAATTCAAAGCAAATTTATTTAGTATTCACTATTTTGAACATAATTTCTTCAAATCTTCAAATTTTATGAATTTTTGAACGCAACCTTGCATAATCTTAAACATAAGTGTTAGGGTAACTAATCTTTACGTATCTCAAAAACTAATTGAGATATCGTTATGAAATAAAAAGCAGTTTACAGCAAATTTAATGAAGATTTAATGCATTTGAGATAATTTCTAATTTTCCAAAAACATCGTTGTTATGATTGTTTAAATCCAACTCTGTATGTTTAATTGTTATAGATTTGCAATATAAATTTTAAAGAGTCGTATCTCAAGAACGAATTGAGATATCATCATGAAATAAAGAACATTTTAAAGCAAATTTTATGAAGATTTAATGCACCATAAATAATTTCTTAATTTCTATAACCATCATTGTTATGATGTTTTAAATCCAATTCTGTATGTTTGATTGTTATAGATGTGAAATACAATTTAAGAAAATCGTATCTCAAGAACGAATTGAGATATTATTATGAAATAAAAAGCAATTTGAAGCAAATTTATTTAAGATTCAACATTTTGAATATCATTTCTTCAAATCTCCTCATTTCAGATTTGTGATTTTTTTAACGTAACGTTGCATAACCTTAAACTGAAATATTAGGGTAATTAATCTTTACATATTTCTAAAACTAATTGAGATATTGCTATAAAATGAAAAGCAGTTTAAAGCAAATTTAACGAAGATTTTAATGCACTATAAATAATTTCTTATTTTCCATAGTCATAGAGCTTATGATTTTTAAAATATAACTCTGCATGTTTAATTCTTATAGATATGAAACATAAATTTTACAAAATCGTATCCCGAGAACAAATTGAGATATCATCATCAAATAAAATGCAATTTAACGCAAATTTACTTAGTATTGTGCCAAAAATATTTTGTTGTTTTCAATAATTATCGTTATTATAATTTTCTAAATCCAACTGTATATATTTGATTGTTATAGAAATAAAATACAAATTAAAACAAATCGTATCTCAAGAATGAATTGAGATATTATGAAATAAAAAGCAATTCAAAGCAAATTTATTTAGTATTCACTATTTTGAACATCATTTCTTCAAATATTCAAATTTTATGAATTTTTGAACGCAACCTTGCATAATCTTAAACATAAGTGTTAGGGTAACTAATCTTTACGTATCTCAAAAACTAATTGACATATTGTTATAAAATAAAAAGTAGTTTAAAGCAAGTTTAATGAAGATTTAATGCACTTGAGATAAATTCTAATTTTCCAAAAACATCGTTGTTATGATTGTTTAAATCCAACTCTGTCTGTTTGATTGTTATAGATTTGCAATATAAATTTTAAAGAGTCGTATCTTAAGAACGAATTGAGATATCATCATGAAATAAAGAACATTTTAAAGGAAATTTGATGAAGATTTAATGCACCATAAATAATTTCTTAATTTCTATAACCATCATTCTTATGATGTTTTAAATCCAACTCTGTATGTTTGATTGTTATAGATATGAAATACAATTTAAGAAAATCGTATCTCAAGAACGAATTGAGATATTATTATGAAATAAAAAGCAATTTGAAGCAAATTTATTTAAGATTCAACATTTTGAACATCATTTCTTCAAATCCCCTCATTTCAGATTTATGATTTTTTTAACGCAACCTTGCATAACCTTAAACTGAAATATTAGGGTACTTAATCTTTACATATCTCGAAAACTAATTGAGATATTGCTATAAAATGAAAAGTAGTTTAAAGCAAATTTAACGAAGATTTTAATGCACTATAAATAATTTCTTATTTTCCATAGTCATAGAGCTTATGATTTTTAAAATATAATTCTGCATGTTTAATTCTTATAGATATGAAACATAAATTTTACAAAATCGTATAACGAGAACAAATTGAGATATCATCATCAAATAAAATGCAATTTAACGCAAATTTACTTAGTATTCAATACTTTGAAGTTGATTTTTTCGAACCATCAAGTTTCAGACTTAATTTTTGAATTCAACCTTGAATAACCATAAACATCAGATGAACATTATATGATAGTTTCTTGTTTATTTTTAACGAACATCAACTTATAAAAGATTCATTTTGTCCAAGTGGTCCGGATTTGTGATTGATATAACAAAAAGCAAGAATATCATTCTGCTACATGAAGCAATTTTACCAATTTCTAATGATTTACCATGTCTGTTTCGTTGTTGAGGAGAATATTACTTAAAATAATAAACAATTTTTAACACAATAGATTAAGCTTATAATGTGGTAATTCAAAACCTAGTCAAAATGAATGCATACACAACATAAAATAACACAAAATAAGACACAAGAATTAATTTCCATTTTAATTTGTTTTTTCTAAACAATCGATTTTATAACACATAATTATTATTCATATACTTAATCTGCTTCACTTTGTAGAAACTCTAAAAGGGATAATATAAATTCCAACCTCAACGCAAGAATATTGAGACATTCAATAACAAAACAAGCTATTACACCATTATTTCGGATCAACTCAACGTTTAATTCGCAATTACAGCTTGCTCTTTGTCAAGGCTATCTTTACAAGATCGACGACTTCCCCTGCACAGCCATAACATAATGTAACGCCACTCCCGCCGTGTCCATAGTTGTGGATCACCGGAACCAATTTATTACCTAAGTTAATCGTTGTTAATTCAAGCCGTATCTGATCACGTCCTGGACGAAGGCCGGCTTGATGTCTCAATACCTTCGCTTCCTAAAGAAACGGTAAATACTTTATAGTAGTGTTAATTGATGCAAATTTAAACTAACTTACATGAAGAGATGGTATCATTTGTTTACAACCTTTTATTATACGAGTGGCGTCTTCAATTCTTGGTTTTGTATCTTCATCATCTAATTGATGGGTTCCACCCAATATAACACAGTTTGCACTAAAAATCGATATTTAGTTACATCATTATTCGAGAAATCAAATCGAATTACTTTGGTATGATGTAACAGCCATCATCAGAATCGTCTATAACTGTATGAAATTGCCATGATGCTTCAACCTAAAAATAAAGTATCTAAAAAAAATTAAGAATAAAAATTTTATTCTTACTCTTAGTATTTGTCCCCTGATCGCTTTAACACTATTATCACTCATTAAAATCTTAGAATATATCCCAGTGCAATTTATAATAACATCATAGTCCTTCAATTGAGAGAAGTTTTCAATTTTTTCGATTTTTATTTGTCCCCCGTTATTAATAAAAATGTTTTCTAAGAACGGTAAAAACTTTGTTGATTCGCATGTGAATGATGTGAAAGTAAAACCTCCACTGCAATAAAAATAAATCAAAAAGAAATTAAAAAAAATAATTAAAGCTTACGTGTATGGAATTTTATGATCATTTTTAAAACGTTCCAACTCCTTTCCTTTGATTTCATTACATCCAATAGCAATTGTTGACCATTTCGGAATACTTGTATCATCACATAACAAATTTACCACGGGTTGTAAAGAAATACCAGCATCTAGCGCATAACCATCTTTCCATAATTTCCAGAAGAAATCTTGAGTTTCTTTTGCCCATTTTCTATTATCACAATTATTTATCAAATTATTTAAAAGTTGTTTACTTACAATACTTTATCTTCCGGAGTATCTTGTACTAGATGCGGTGCCCAAAGTCCCGCGGCTACATCACCTGTTGTATTAGGACTCTTATCAGCTGTATAAATGGTGACAACGATGCTTTCTCCGTATTCTTTTTGAATTTTTAACGCCGCCGTTAAACCTATAACGCCAGCGCCTATAACAGCGATTTTTCGCTTCATGCTGTATCAAGAGACAAATATGAGACAAAATTCGTAAAAAGGTTGCAACAAGGTTACGTATCTTATCAATCTGTATTTATTATCGACGATAATTTAATATAAATAATGTATAGACAATAATTGGATTACAGGATTTTTGGAGAAGTTGTAGGAAAATTTTAAAATAAATTTGTAAAAATAAAATTCTAATATTAAATGAAGGTTAATCAAAAATAAAATTTACATAACAAATATTGTAAACACGATTACTATTAATTCGAAAAGGATTCGTTATCACTACGTAAGTTAATTGAAAGGCACTATTGCGAAATTTGAATTAATATGAAAGAAGCAGTGTATGGATAATTTTTAATATTCGTTGTGCCAATGGTTCTAAAAATGAAGACATAAGCTGTGTGAGTTGGCAGCTGTGACAATCTGGTTTTGCGATAAATCTGGATTTGAAACGATATTAAGCAAGGATTCAGAAATTAAAAAATGGCTGAAAATAAGTGGTTGTAAATTATTTATGTTAGTTTTAAAGCCTGTACTTATTACTGTTAGTTTGTAAACCAACAAAAAAGTGACTCTTGTGTATAGTACCCATCATAAATGTGCAACCGCTTAAAAATAATCATCGAATATTTATTGAAATGTTTGAAGTTGTCCAAATATAAACTGAAGATTTTTATGGTTTTCCAGATTTTTATAGATTTTTATTATTAAAAGACCTGTTCCTATAGTTACAATACATGAATAAAGATATAGATGCTCTCAGGCCCAGATATACATATTTCACATCTATATCACCACTGAAGTCACCACTGATTAAGAGCTTATAATTAAAAAATGGTCATAATTGAGTTCAATCTTTTTATGGATCTAGTCTTTATGGTCCATTACTAAGGTTTTATGTATAAAAAGTTTTTCTCCATCGCTTTTAGTTTTTGAGTTATGACTTATGACTGACTTAATTTTCGAAAATCAACAATTTTGATGTTTAATCGGTTTAGAGCTTATAAATAAAAAATGGTAATAATTAGGTTCAATCTCTTTATGGATCTAGTCTTTATGGTCCATTACTAAGGGTCTATGTATAAAAAATATTTTCCCATCGCTTTTAGTTTATGATTTATGATTGAGTTAATTTTCGAAAATCAACAATGTTGATGTTTAATCGATTTAGAGCAGTAGTGTCCACTAATTTTTGATCAAAATCGACTTTTTATATAAATGTCTTGCCAAGATCGACCGAAGGGTTTAAAGTAACCTTCCTTTTTTTTTGCTCTGAGGCCCAATTATTAGATATTTCAGATTCATGATTTTCTTGGCGATCGACGTTATGGACACCACTGCTATAAAGCAATGTAAAAAGAAAATGATTTACTATGTCTCTTTTACCATGCGAAGATAGTCATAAGTATTATAAAGTGTTTGGCCAAAAGTCATATTAAGTAGTTGTTATAAACATCGTTTGTATTGCTTTTGTAGACCAAATAGCGTTAACCAACACTATATGATTGGTTAGATCTCGTGTATACACTCAAGTCTTGTTTTGTAGCGGGTTGGGTTTGGAAGTGTCACATGACTACATTGCAAAGTGATGATAATAGTACACGTCTTTCTGAACTCTCAACCACCAATACTTTGTTTGTACAGACTACAGCATTATGTGCATGAAGAACCGGATTGGGAACTCAACTCAGCCTAACACAGCCAGTTAATTTTCTTTATCTCACGTCTCCATAATAATTCATCACACACTTCCTCTTGATATATCTGGGCTTCGACTAGAGAATTAGGGCCTGCAACTTGGAGAAGCGGTCGCTTACAAACGGAGATAACACTCATTTCACAAACCAAAGCAGAAATTTCTGCTTTTGGTGGTTTCATAGGTGTAAGTAATTTTAGGATGTTGTGATTGTCGAAGAAACTCCACAAAGATTTTAAAGCTTACCTTCTGCTACTTGTAAAAGGTAAACAATGGGTTAAGCAACTTAATTTAAATTAGATATCAACTTCATATATTAGATTAAAACAAAGTATGTCAAATTGTAATCCTGTTTTGTTTGTTTATCGAAGTTTTTTTAATGAACCTCTTAATTAAAACTACCAAAAATCTTTTAATTTGTTAACGTCCCTCAAGCGAATTATGAGCAATCTCATAATTAAATTTAATGATCGGAACTAATGATGTAATAAATTTCTATTTAAAAATAATTATCATTTTAATTAATCTACCGAAAATACTTAATAAAATCCCCGGAATTTTGAAATTAGATTTAACCGCAAGCGAGGTAGGTCGTTTTGAGACACAAGTTCAAACATAATATCACAAAGCAGACGTTTATTTTCAAAATGATTACGCGATAATTTCAGACAAGTAAACGCACAAATTTTTTTTTTAAGTTAATGACCAACTTTAAGATCTTCAACTTGCTCAGGCAATCGTGCTTCGTAGGGCGGCTCACCGGTACGAGCGACCCACACAGAACCAGTGTTCGCTTTTGTGAGCAATGTCATAACAGCTTTCGCGATGTCTTTTGGTTTTTGAACCATCATGTTTTCCATATCATCAAAAATTTCGTAATTAAATTTTTCGTCTACATCAGCACCACTTTTCATTTTGGAAAAACCTGGAGTGATGCAAAGGGTGATCACTTTCACCCCAGATCGATCATATTGATCTGAATCACCCAAAGCTCTTCCAAATCCTATAATGGCCGATTGGGTCATACTATAAATTGGCAAACCGGATGAGCAAATTAAACCGCACGTTGATGCTATATTGATAACATGACCACCACTACCAACACAACTTTTAGACATGTATTGAACGCCGAGTAAAGATCCAATAACACATCCACCCTAATAAAAATACGATTCATAACGTTATAATTAAATGTTTTAAAGCACTTACTATGTTGGTTGAGATAGTTGTTTCCCATTTAGGATCATTAAGCATTCCTGCATTGTTCACCACAACGTCTAATTGTTTATAAGATTTTAACGTTTGTTTGTATGCCCCTAAAAAAGTTACGTTCTATCAAAAGAGATCTTTATAAATAGACACAATTAATACAATCAAAATTACTAGATTTTCTAATATCACACTTCACAAATACCGTTTTTCCTTTTCCAAATTCTTCCGCTAAAGACTGCGCAAGTTGCTCGCCGGTGATATGGTTTATATCTGCTATGGATACTCCCATAGCACCAGCCTCCAGAAATTCTCTAACAATTTCCCTACCGATCCCGCTTGCACCTCCAGTTACCATAGCTACTTTATCACGCAAAATTTTTCGCTTACCTGGTATATATTTTACCTTTTTAAAATTGTCTATGTTATCAACATGTCCTCTGCCACCAAGATGTATGCTGAAAAATATTAATAAAAGAATATCTTATTTTAATTTTTCACTTCGAAATTACTCATACCGTGCCGATTTTATTAATGCTTTAAACCTGAACAGACGGTAGTACATGCTGAACACGAAATTTGGCAAAATAAGTAGATCGGAGGTTTAAAATGAAGACATTTTAGCTGTTTTTGACATTTAGCATATTTTTGATGTACAAACAATAAAAATATGTCATAACATATCTGTCAAGATATAGGACGCATGATTATTTTGATGATGATTAAGGCCCACTTTTACCATCTTCCTGATAAACTATCTAGAGGATAGTTGTCATGGTTACGGCGGTTTTAAGCGCTCTCATTGGCTAAGAACTGGATTTATCTATCGGATAAATTTATCAGGAGGTGGTAAAAGTGGGCCTAAATAGAATAAAAGAACAAATCGATGGACATTATTTTATTGGCATAGATATAACCTTCAACGTACATTTACACCAACTCTTAATTATATAAACTGAGCGGCTAACTTTTTATGTTTATCCCAAGATATTGGTAAAATTTCATAAAGATGGGATCCTTCTATAACCCATATCGAACCACTTTTACCACATCTGATTACGTGAACAGCTGCTTGACCAACAGCAGATGGACTTTGTTTCTTTGCTTTATTCATAGCTAGTTGCATTTCTTGACCTAGTGCTGGTGACATGCCTTTACTTTCCAGACCTTTCGTAAAGCTTGTGTTGGTTGCTCCTACTAATAGGGTGATCACTCTAACTCCGGTTCTAGCCACGTGCCAGTTATCTCCAAAACTTGTGCTTAATCCTACTATCGCGTGTTGAGTTGATGCAAACGTTGGTGCTGATGGCGCTGGTGTTATACCTTCTAAGCCACATACGTTTATCATTGCACCCCCCTTACCCACCCCTTCTTTACCGATGTACTTGTAGGCTAATAATGATCCGCGAATGGTTCCTATCACATTAGTAACAACTTCTCTCTCCCAATGTTTTCCGTCGATAATTCCAGCACAGTTAATAACAATATCTATGTTTCCATAAACATCTTTTACTACACGATAAGTTTCTGCAAAAGAATTTAAATTATTAAAAAAAATTAATTAATTAAATTTAATGTTACCTTCTAATTGGCTCATACATGTAAGATTAGCATTGATGAACATAGCTTTACCGTGCCCAAATCCACCATTTAATTTTGAAATAGCCTCTTTACCTTTGTCTACGTTTACCCCAGTAACAGCTACATGTTTGGCTTTATTTCTTAACAAACTTTCAGCGATTGCTAAACCTATCCCACTTGAACCTCCTGTTACCAACGCAACTTTGCAGGCTGGTTCCATAAAAATACCACTCTCTGTACCTTTACTAAAGAAAAATATGGTTAATGCTGATAATTAGAGAATTATAAATCACAATACCAGTCATCACCGCATAAATTTTTAGGAATCGGAGTGGAGTGGATCTCTTTTTTTAGAACCCTGCAAAGATTATACTTAATTTAAAAAATTTTTGGGAATTATTTACTTACAGTCTGCAATTTTCAATGAAACTTGTAGTTTTTGGTGCTAACATATGACGAAGTGACGAGAACATTGCGATCTTTTAAGTCTACTATGGGGAGAAATTACTTTAAAATTTTAGGTAATATTTTAGGGCGAAAGGGTGTGACAGTACATTGACATGGATGTTACAGTCAGTTAGAGTCAACTGCCAACTTAATTTTTATTTAGCTTTTATTAATCACGTTTAAGAAGAAATGAGAGAGTAAATCGTTGAAGTGAGACTTATTCATGTAACAATCAAACATGCAGAGATTGATTTAAAAAATCGATGATTATGAAAAATAACAAATTGTTTATGGAGCATTAAATCTTCGTTAAATTTGCTTTAAAATGTTTTTTATTTTATGGTGATATTTCAATTAGTTTTTGAGATACGTAAAGATTAATTACAGTAACATTTATGATTAAGGTTATGTAAGGTTGCGTTCAAAAATTCATAAATCTTGAATTTGAAGAAATTGCTTTAAATTGTTTTTTATTTTATGGAGATATCGCAATTAGTTTTTGAAATACGATTCTTTTAATATCTGTTCTTAGAATTGAGAATAATCAAATATGCCGAGTTGGACTTAAAAAATTATAACAATGATGTTTATTGAAATGTACTGCCTCGGCTTCCTCGAAAGAATCAGTGGTTTAAGGAACTAAGCCGAGGTCGCTTGCGGCCGAGGCAGTACAATTAACATCATATCAACTCAAACATGAAAGACATAATGTACTGCCTCAACTTACTAAAAAGAAATAGTGGTTCAAGGAACTAAGCCGAGGTCGTTTGCGGCCGAGGCAGTACAATTAACATCATATCAGCCAAAATACGAATAACATAATGCACTGACTCGGTTTACTCAAAATAAACAGTGATTCACGGAACTAAACCGAGGTCGCTTGCGGCCGAGGCAGTACAATTAATATCATATCAACCCAAATACGAATAACATAATGTTCAGTACATTATGTTATTCGTATTTGGGTTGGGTTGGGTTGGGCTGACTCGATTTACTCAAAATAAACAGTGATTCACGGAACTAAACCGAGGTCGCTTGCGGCCGAGGCAGTACAATTAATATCATATCAACTCAAATACGAATAGCATAAAATTCTGCCTCAGCCACAACCGTCTTCGGCTTACTCGAAAGAAACAGTGATTCACGGAACTAAGCCGAGGTCGCTTGCGGCCGAGGCGGTACAATTAATATCATATCAACTCTAATATGAATAGCATAAAATTCTGCCTCAGCCACAAGCGTCTTCGGCTTACTCGAAAGAAACAGTGATTCAAGGAACTAAGCCAAGGCCACTTGCGGCCGAGGTAGTACAATTAATATCATATCAACCCAAATATGAATGACATAATGTACTGACTCGATTTACTCAAAATAAACAGTGGTTCAAGGAACTAAGAAGAGGTCGTTAGTGGCCGAGTCAGTACAATTAAGATCGTATCAACCCATGCAAATATGAATAACATAAATTTCTGCTTCAGCCACATACGTCCTTGGCTTACTCGAAAGAAATAGTGAATCACGGAACTAAGCCGAGGTCGCTTGCGGCCGAGGTAGTACAATTAATATCATATCAACCCAAATATGAATATCATAAAATTCTGCCTCAGCCACAAGCGTCTTCGGCTTACTCGAAAGAAACAGTGATTCACGGAACTAAGCCGAGGTCGCTTGCGGCCGAGGCAGTACAATTAATGCATATCAACCCAAATATGAATAACATAATGTACTGACTCGGTTTACTCAAAATAAACAGTAGTTCAAGGAACTAAGGGAAGGTCGTTTCTGGCCGAGTCAGTACAATTAAGATCGTATCAACCCATGCAAATATGAATAACATAAATTTCTGCTTCAGCCACATGCGTCCTTGGCTTACTCGAAAGATACAGTGAATGAAGGAACTAAGCCGAGGTCGCTTGCAGCCGAGGCAGTACAATTAATATCATATCAACTCAAATACGAATAGCATAAAATTCTGCCTCAGCCACAAGCGTCTTCGGCTTACTTGAAAGAAACAGTGATCCACGGAACTAAGCCGAGGTCGCTTGCGGCCGAGGCAGTACAATTAATATCATATCAACTCAAATACGAATTGTATAAAATTCTGCCTCAGCCACAAGCGTTTTCGGCTTACTCGAAAAAAACAGTAATTCAAGGAACTAAGCCAAGGTGGCTTGTGGCCGAGGTAGTATAATTAATATCATATCAACCCAAATATGAATAACATAATGTACTGACTCGGTTTACTCAAAAGAAATAACGGTTTAAGGAACTAAGCCGAGGTCGCTTGCGGCCGAGGCAGTACAATTAATATCATATCAACTCAAATACGAATTGTATAAAATTCTGCCTCAGCCACAAGCGTCTTCGGCTTACTCGAAAGAAACAGTGATTCAAGGAACCAAGCTAAGGTCGCTTGCGTCTGAGGTAGTATAATTAATATCCTATCAACCCAAAGGCCGAGGGAGTACAATTAATATCATATCAGGGCTTACTCAAAAGAAACAGTCATTGCAGCCACTGTAATATGTATTGCTTAACTTCTGTTGGTATGGGGTGTATTATAGTGCCCCGGCCGCAAGCGTACTCAGATGAAACAATGGAATCAAGGAACCAAGCAGAGATGGTTTGCTACCTACACTTTAGCAAGTTAATATGATATTAATTTTACTGGCTCGGCTGCAAGCGATGCAGTACTTATAATGTTAGATAGACTAGTTTTGATGTCTCCTAATTACTATAAATTCTGATTCAAGCAATCGATATGATTTTTAAAATATCTATTATTTTATAAACTTATTTACTATTCTGTGAAGTCTACTTTAAAAAGGCTTCGTATTTAAAGTAAAAAACTAATAAAACAATAGCTGATTATATAAATGACACTAATTAATAAAAATTGAGACGGTGTCTATCCTAGTTAACGGAAAAACTTTTGTGTAACAAAACCAGGCGTAAATATCGCGTAAAAACAGTTAAAATCGTTTGTTTCAGCGGGATCCGAACTGTGACGGTGAATGTTAAGCATGCGGCGTAAAGTCACGCAGTCATATTTCAAACAGCTGTCAATTTACCGAGTAGCATAACCGTCAATCGAAATCGCTGTTATCCTCTGGAGTTGTTATCCGGGGCTGTTATCCGAGGCGGTTATCTACTTTATCGGTCCGGGCGGATCTTCGTACTTTACCGTTCGCTCTTACGCCAGTTGCGCTTTATTTTTTAACAGCGGCTGTTATTCTCTGGGTAACTGTAAAATCGCACGCGGCTTGATCCCAAACGACCGGCCCGTTGAAATATATTTAAATGCGTGAAAACCCGTTTTTTTAAATTAACCACTTATTTGACGAAAAATATGGCCTTATCTCACGAAAAGGTCACGACCATCACGACGCATTCTCTCCTTTTAAGTGCCAAACAAATTAATGTAAGGAAGTTAATTAAAACAATAATAATAATTCTTGAAAGAAATACATTTTAATTAAGTTGATTATTTAATGAATATTCATGTGCTTGTAGTTTATTTTTCCAAGCTTCAACTTCGGAGCTAAGATTTGCATGGGTTGCTGCACACTTATGTTTACAAAGCTTTTCTCGAGTGTCGAATATGAAGTGATGAGTTGGATCAAACCAACCTCGATCCATTCTGATTGTGCTGTTCTTCGGACCCCAATCATAGCTGGGAGTGATTATAGTTGATCTATACTAATAGATTTAATGATGATTGTGTAGAATTGATCGAATAATTAAAATACTTACACCAGCAAAGTATTGAATAACAACAAAAATTGCTCCGATTATAATAGGAAGCAACACCACTATTCTAACAGTAAGCGATTGTTCTTTAATTTCAGAGCTATCTAATGTAATCCAGACAGTCTAAAAAACAGTAAATATAAAATTAAAAGAAATGAAATTAAAAAATACTCACAAAAGCTATTACTATATACATTTTAATACCATATATAACAAAAGCATGCAGTGGAATTTTATGTACGAATTGATAATCCACTGCTATCCTCTCTGGGCTATATATAAAAATACCAAGGGCGACAGTGCTTAATAATGTATAAGTAATGAATGGAGTTTGAGTTGAAAATTTGCTAAAATTAAATCAAAGTTAATTCAAGTTCATAAAATTATCATCATAAAAATTACTGGTAATTCGCTTCAAATAAATCTTCGTATCTTAAATAGATGTTATAGGAAAACATAACAGAACACAAGATGCCTGAAACAGCAGTTCGGTACATTCTCATCCTTGGAAATTGGCCGACGAGAGCGTCTACGATTGCAGTACATTTAATAATAACGCCAATCATCCACCAAATAAACAGAAAAAAGAAGTAAACAATCAAAATATAGTAACCCAGATACCAACGGGATATTAAATCAGGAATTAACACAAATATAAATATTTGACCTATAAAAGTTAAAGTAATTAGATATTTATTTTTATATAGTGCCTGCTTTACATTATTTTAATTACATTACAAATTAAATATTTTGATTCTGATTTATATTGGGTCAAAAATGAGTTAAAAGAGTTTTCAAAAATTAAGGATGTGGCGATGCGATTACAATTCAAGATGAGCAAGACTGTGTTAGAGTGATAAAAAGTTTAAATAAAAAAATTGTGGTAAATTATCAGAAGATTAAAAAAATCGTAACGACTCATCTCCCCAATTACAAATGAGAATAACTTCTGGACAAGATATAACTAAGAAAAAGCCAATGTGGCTCCTTAGATGTGCAATTTCCTACAGAACTACCACACTGTAATTTCACAACTAATAAAATAAAACAGATAACGAAACAAATAAACATAAAAAGGCTCCAGGATTTGGCCTTATTATGGAAATATTCTACAGGAATACATGATACAAATTAATAACTTTCATACTTAATGATATTCGGAGATCAAACTATTTCCCTAGCAGCTGGAAAGTTACTCAAATCATTCTGATTCATAAAATGCCAGAAAAAATTACCACGTATAGACCCATAAGCTTGCTACCTATGATCTCCAAAGTCGTCGAAAAGCTGTAAGCACACTGACGCGATATCTGCCTCTAGAAATCTGCAAGATTATTTAAACATAATTCTTCTTCACTATGGTAGAGAAAGTTGCCCTTCTAAGATCATCAACAAATCTAAACTACCACAAAAGATCAAAATATCTAAACATGCACCTCGATTGATGCCTCATATGGAAGAAATATTTTCTCTAAACGTATGCAATACAAGCTAAATAAAATGTATTAGATCATTGGCCGTACTTGATCATTCTAGGCTAGTTTTAACAACGCATGTCATAATAAACGCTTTATTGTCCTTCTGGGGAACACATAGAATCATTTCAATAAAAAAAGAGATGGATGAAGTACATAAAGTGTAATAGTCGTGATTGAAAATCAAAAGAAAATCTGTGCAGATATGGAGCTTTCCTGATTGACCTTGAATTTTTTTTATGAACAAATATTGTTCTTCTTCTTCTGTGCAGTAGCCAGACTTGTTCTACCCATTCTGTTCTGCCTACATTTTTTATGATGCGGACGACCAGCTATCTTACCATCATTTTGGAGGTGGTCTTGGCAGCCTTTTGAATGCTGGGTTGTAGTTTTTGACAATCCTTGGTATTCTATTCTTTTCCATTCGTGCAACGTACTCGTTCCTCCCTCTCACATTCCTTCCCAATTTTCCTGCTTCCTCTCTGATCCCTTAGTGTCTTGTTGGTACGCGCCATCCTTTTAGTTATCACTAAGTCTGTCCGCGCCTTTGCAATATATGTCATTATTGGTTTATTGTTCTTTGTGCTTCTCCTATTCTTGCTAGCTCTTTTTGTCAAAGTGTTCTTGAGTTCTCCATAAGACGCTTACTCCTAAAAGGAGTCTTGGCCTCCTTTATTTTCTGCCTCCATAGTTGTCTATCTCCTGCCGACCTAACTGCGAGAGTTACAGAGGACGAGACTTGTGGGGAGAATGCCACCAAAGACTACCCAACATGAGAAAAGATAAGTGGAGCAACCCCGGAAACGATGGGAGGATGGAATACAGGATGCAGGCGATTTTCTGGGCATTCGAGTGTGGAGGAGGGCGTAGGAGATAAATACAAGTATGCTATTTTTTGTTATATTCTATTGCTGTTTTTCCGAAACCTCTATTGTTCTTCACTTGTTGCTATGTGCTGGAAATGTGATGTAGCAGGAGACGGAAAAAAGCTTTATGAATATATCTAGGAGTGAAATTCTTCGGTAATTATCTGCATTTGAGAATGTTCGTTTCTTAAAGAATGATACGGTTTGTTCAGCTGCCTGGTGTTTGTATTTCCAACAGTTGGTACTTCTCATCTTTTCTTCAGCAGTGGGGTTTATTAGGAATATTATCTTGACCTGGTTACTTGCCGTTATTTAGTTGTTTCGTCTGGAACGTCACTCTCTCTCTAATGTTTGTCCTTCGGCGGAGATTACTAATTAATTTGTCCGCTAATCTATTATTCTTTGGTCTCTGTTTCGTTTACTTTCCTTTTTGTTGCTCTAACAATTTTACAGTATCGTTTTTGGGTTCCATATAAGTCATTTTCCATGTATTTGCTAAACTTCTCTCAATGTTCTTTATCTCCTTTACTCTGGTGTTTGCTCTATTTATTGTGTTTGTGTAGTTGGTGTAGTTCTTAGTGTGTTGTTTGATTTATACATTAAGTGAGCTCTCATTTTTTTTGGGTTAGTAGTTTTACCTAAGATGTGAACTAAGGTTTTTTACAATATTACTGACTTAATAAGCATTATGTACTGTGTCTTGCTGTTGGATTAAATTATAAAGAATAAAATAAACATCTTTGAAGTATTATTATGCAACTAGACTTCTCTTGAATGATTTTATTTGGCAAAATTCATTTTTGACACCTTTTATGAAACCGGTTTTGACATGATTATTTGTAATCCATTTAGTGGTCATTTCTTTACAGGTTTTAATAATTAATTAAAACTGTTTTAACTCATTTCAATTTCAAATTTACTCATTTTCTTCTGGACCAGTAAATCCTAATAGTGAATAGATTGTTTAAATCAATAATTTAGCCCTGTCTTAGAATGATTTTTTTTCAGTGAGTCTATCTTGACTGCAATGATTTTAAAATACTGTAAATCAGGCAGAATTTAAAAGATTACCTTGTAGTATAAGACAACGATTATCATGGATTTTATAAATTGTTTGTGCTAATTTAAAACTTACACACAAGCAAACCGCTATTAATATAGTTACGACTTCAATGGAAACATATAAAAGAACGCTGGCTGCTGTTGGTGAGGTGGTAACCGGGCTTTGAGATCCGAAATTTACCATTTCCATGGGCAATTCCACAACAATACTATGACTAATAATACTCGACCAAAACTGAATAAAATAACAAACAGTAATAACATCAAAACGATTTCATTCAGTTACTTGTGGCATCGATAATTTCTGATCAATACTAAAATCTTTTTTAGGTGCTGGTATGTTGGATCCATAAAAAAGAATTACCGTTATAATTGGTACCATGCCTATAGCGCTGTATGAGATAAACCTAGTTAATACATGCCGAAATCTTTTCATTCCGATCATAACAAATAAAAAAATACTTATATAAAGACAAAAAAGTATTCCAACACATTCTGAAATGGATTCTATATCGGTATCTTCGTTTATACTGTGAATATCTTTGATACTGATCCAAAAATCCATCGTAGAAAAGCTAGGTAGTTCAAGTATATGGTTAACGAAGGTACAATTTTTATCTAAAAGAGTATTACAACATTTTGTTGTAAAATTTTTATGATCACCATACATTGGTGTGCATTCATCACAAGCCCCATCAAAGTCGCAATTTTCCCATGGAATAGTACCACTACGAATTAATTTACTGATATAATAAAGAGCCTGTCCGGCGAAATAAACATTGTATATTTGCATCGGAATAGAATAGATAATAAGTGCAAATGGGAGTCCTTTCAATATAGGTACGCAATCCCAGAATCTAACAAAATATCTTTTGGTGAAGTTGCCCAAAAAAATGTATCCACTCTGAACAGGCACGCATGTGCAAATCATAATAAAGGTGGATAATGAAAATGTTAATGCTAAAAATAAATATGTTATAATTAAAACTAATTATTAAATGGTTTTGATTACCTGGTCCAAAATTAGTCATCATATACATTTGAACTGTAATGTAAGAGACACTAAATCGGGTACATATAGCAAAAGTAAATAATTCCGCCCACGTTAATAAATATTTTTCCCTATCGCCCTAAAATATAAATAGAAAATTAAATTAAATCATTTTTACAAAATATAAATACATGATCGCCACAAAAAATATCTCGACAATTAATTTCTTGCACATCGTCTCCATCAAGATCGATATCTTTTGAAACAGACTTTAATTTTAAACCGTAATACTGCTTATCCCAGGAATATTTTGCTATTCTCGATTTAGCCCGTTTCTTCCGACCTCTTTGTCGAAGAATAGATTTTCCACGTGCTATTAAGCGAGAAGCAGCTCTACCACACGCATCACAAAATTTTCCCATTTCTCCGTACTATTCTTTGAGCTTTATGACAGGATAAATCATGCCATAGATACGAAACATAACATGTCATAGTGCGATCAGAATAAATTGGTTAATAACTAAGTTTTTAACATTTATATTGCAATAATAATCATGGAGTTTCTATCACCAAGAGCTGAAAGATACGGTAGCGGTGTTGCGCGCAGATTAGAAAATAGAGCACTTCGAATATTTGATCGTTATAAACTTGAATTGGAACGGATTGAAGCTGAAAGATTGTTGACTATGGGGCATCTATCGCTTGATGGAGGAAGCAGTTTGCACAGCGATGATGAAATATCACATGATATGTACGGTGGTACTCGAATGTCTATTTATGAAGATGATGAATCACGTGCGGAACTTTTGAAAAGTATTGGTGGTGGACCATGCGGTATCAGTTGTTCTCAAATGGTATTAGGATTTAAAAAAATATAATCATTATTAAATTTCACATATTTTTAGTTCGGCCCAATCAATAGAAATTATATTTTAAAATGGTGGCAATACATTCCTATTTTGGTTCTGTTAAATACTTCGATTGCATTTAATATAAACTGTGTGGATATGAGTATTAAATGGGGTTCAAGTATATTAAAATAACCAATATTAATTATAGATTAACTTGTGGGCAATTGATGGTTTTAAATTAACTTAAATAAGAAAAATATTTATTTTTAATAGAATTAACTGTTGATTCTATTAAAAATAAACACGACGTAGTTGATGAAGCATAAATTTACTGCTTTTAGCGTTAGATGCGATTTCGATTTTTTTTTCAATTCCCTACGAATATCTTTTTATCTCTTAATCTAAAAGAATTTACACTATTTCCAAGACACCAATGCAATTTCTAACGAAGGCATTACAATACTTCTCATAGATTCAAATTGCAGCAGTTATCCAGAGTATTCTGCAATATGACAATTAATAGCAAATTATTATAAGTTCTAATATAAGCCTGACTTTGGTCGTGTCAAGTAACCTTTATTGATGTTTAATGGAGAGAATGTTGCAAAACAGTAGGTGAGGTTATTTCTCGATAATTTATTTCATTGCCAGTTGGGCATATGATTATAATTAATGTTCTGCTACAGCTTGAAAGCCAACGTCTTGATTTCTCTATGCCATAACTATGATACCCGTGTCAATGGTAAATATTTCTGCCTGTAATACTGTAATACACTGTTGGAAATAATTCACGAGCACACCCTGTATAATCTGAACGCGTGTGTCTAGCACAATAAAATTTGGAATGGAAGTAGTACTAAAGTAGTGTAACTTACTCTCACATGGAGAGCGGCACAACTCTGCTGGGAGGAGAAACATCAATAGCGAGAGTATCCCCCGTGAGCTTCGCGTACCATCGCTACATGACGTGGCATGGAGTCTATAAGTCGCTGTATTGTAGCGAGAGGGATGGCCAACCATGCCACCTTAACTCGCCTCTATAGCTCCTCAACGTCAGCCGAGGAAGCCGGATAACGTAGAAGTCTCCGACCAGTCATGTCCCAAACATGTTCGATCGGATTCAGATGCGGAAACCGAGCTAGCCATGGAAGCATTCGTATACGGTGCTCTTCCACAAAGGTCTGTACAACACGCCCAATGTGCTGTCGTACGTTGTCGTGCATGTATAGCAGACCTGGGAACCGCCGAACGTAGGGAAGCACAACGGACCATAGCACCTCATCTACGTATCGTTGACCCGTCATGGTCTGCTATACACGCAGCAGACGTGTACGTCCACCATGTGTAATCGCACCCCATACCATAATCCTCGGTTGTCGGTAGATAGGGCGTTCTTGCACATACTGCTCGAGTAGACGATCACCAGGGCTCCGACGCACTAAAATTCGCGCATCACTGGTGCTCAATTCGAATCTTGATTCGTCGGAAAACAAAATGTCCCTCTACTCGGCAACCTACTAATGCCTAGCGTCGACCCACTCGTGACGTATGCTGCGGTGCTCGGGTGTTACTGAAATACGCTGTATCACACGACGCACGCGCAGTCCACTATCTACCAAACGCCGCCGTACAGTTCGCGTAGTGAGTACGCCTTCCCCTGCCGGTGGCCAAACAGCTCCAAGTTGCCTTGAGGAGGACACACACGACGCTAAAGCGCTGAGCACAAGAGCGCGATCCTCGTATGCTGGGGACACGCAGGGCCGTCCCGGCCGCGGCTAAAGGTACCTATGTCCTACCTCAGACCATTCTCGCCATGCCCGTTGCACTGCCGATAACGACCGCTCGAGACGACGCGCAATTTCACAGAACGATACACCCTCAATGTGCATACCCACAAACATTCCTCGCCCAAACTCGCGTAAGTAACGCGATTGCCCATCTATTGCGCACAGAGTACGATAACAATATGGTCCCTCACACCACACTAAAAACGACCGGTATTTTCCATCCACTTCGGTCACCATAGCGACGGAATGTTCCGCTTGGAAGGGCAGCTCAGTCAACAATACCGCGACGGAACTACTCGAAACTCCCTGAATAGACTCATCTACAGTAAACCTTTGTACTCCGAAAATATTATGGATTTATCTTCACGCGTTCAGATTATGTAGGGTGTGCTCGTGAATTATTTCCAACAGTGTATCACATACGGTTCCTGTTCCTTCGTCCATGTAACGATATGTATCTTATATCATGGACTTTGTATCCCACAAGAACACAAGATTTCGGCAAATTAACCATAGTTGTATCTTACACTTTTACAATGTACAGGTGTCCCAAATTCGTTGCCCGCATAGGTTATCTCCGAAACTAAAAGAGATAGAAAAGAAGTAGCTAACATGCCATGATCTCGTTTTTCGAGAAACTGCTAATGCCCAAAACTTTAAACAGTTATCGTGTTTTGTTTTCGCCGTATCAGCAAAAACTGAAAAACTTATTACCAAAGATGGAGTATTATTTAAAACATTGTGCATATAATTTATTTTGTCTGTTCTACGCCGTTCTCATAAAATATCAAAGAATGTGTTTTAACAAAAAAAAATGAGCAATGACTTCCTGAAAAGAAAAGTTGAGTTAGGTTAGTTTTGTTTACAAATATCAATCAACTCTGACAAAAACATTGGGTAATGTTAGGATAGGTCAGTTTTCTTTTGACACCACAGTTACAGCGTGAAGGAATGTTAAGACAGGTAGTTTTCTTTTGAAACCCCAATTAAAGCGTGAAGGAATGTTAAGACGGTTAATTTCCTTGCGTGAAAGAATGTTACGATAGGCCAGTTTTGTTTTGAAACCCTAATTATAGCGTGAAGGAATGTCGATTTTCTTTTGAAGCCCAATTACAGCGTGAAGGAATGTCGGTTTTCTTTTGAACCCTAATTATAGCGTGAAGAAACTCCAATTACAGCGTGAAGGAATGTTAGCATAGGTCAGTTTTCTTTTGAACCCCAATTATAGCGTGAAGAAACTTCAATTACACCGTGAAGGAATGTTAGGATAGGTCAGTTTTGTTTTGAAACCCTAATTATAGCGTGAAGGAATGCCGGTTTTCTTTTGATGCCCAATTACAGCGTGAAGGAATGTCGGTTTTCATTTGAACCCCAATTATAGCGTGAAGAAACTCCAATTACAGCGTGAAGGAATGTTACCATAGGTCAGTTTTCTTTTGAACCCCAATTATAGCGTGAAGAAACTTCAATTACACCGTGAAGGAATGTTAGGATAGGTCAGTTTTGTTTTGAAACCCTAATTATAGCGTGAAGGAATGCCGGTTTTCTTTTGATGCCCAATTACAGTGTGAAGGAATGTCGGTTTTCTTTTAAACCCCAATTATAGCGTGAAGAAACTCCAATTACAGCGTGAAGGAATGTTGGCATGGGTCAGTTTTCTTTTGAAATCCAATTATAGCGTGAAGGTATGTCGGTTTTCTTTTGAACCCCAATTATAGCGTGAAGAAACTCCAATTACAGCGTGAAGGAATGTTAGCATGGGTCAGTTTTCTTTTGAAATCCAATTATAGCGTGAAGGTATGTCGGTTTTCTTTTGAACCCCAATTATAGCGTGAAGAAACTCCAATTATAGCGTGGAGGAATGTTATGATAGGTCAGTTTTCTTTTGTAACCCAATTATAGCGTGAAGGAATGTCGGTTTTCTTTTGAACCCCAATTATAGCGTGAAGAAGTGTCGGTTTTCCTTTGAACCCCAATTATAGCGTGAAGGAATGTCGGTTTTCTTTTGAACCCCAATTATACCGTGAAGAAACTCCAATTATAATGTGAAGGAATGTCGGTTTTCTTTTGAACCTCAATTATAGCATTATGATGGAACATAATGTTTTTAAGTTGATGCATTTAATTTATTTTACCTATTCTATGCAGTTCTAACAAAATATCAAAGAATGTGTTGTAATAAAGTTAGATTAAAAAAAAATCACCAATGCCAAGTGCGTTGCACATTTTCTATTTTTTTTTAATTACCTGGCATATTTTGCACAGGTTTAAAATGTCAACAAGGTCTGAAGATTCTTGCTGCTCAAAATAGTCTAGTAGAACATTCGCAGCTTCTTCAGCCTCCCGGTTCGATACTCGCTTGACTAATACCATGATATCAATTTCTTCGTCTCCACTCTCATTTTCGGATGAACAAGGCTGCGTTGTACTAGGTTGATCCAAAACTTCTTCAACTATATCGTCGTTGTTAAGAAGCTGATACCCCGGCTCATTTTCGTCACACTGGATCCATTTTTCGATCTCATTATCATCGGTTTCCTTAAACTCATTGGCGTTCTGTACTAATGCAATTAGTTCAGATTTAGTTGTTTCTTCTTGACCAGATGCTAAAACAATACTTTCATCTTCCTCCAGTGTGTCATTACAGTGTAATAAGCTTTTTTAATAGTCGTATATTTCACTCCAATCCTTGCATTTGCCTCTGTGAAAATTGTATCTTTGATCGTCAACGATTTCCAAACTTCATCAGCTCAACTTACCATAACTTCTTAGTACCACGTTGTT